AAAAATCTTTACTGATGATATTTTGCAAATGAATAACAAGAGGTATTTAGGGCTTGAGTTTTTCTTATACGTACCTCCACTTTGTTCTCACAGTGGTAGCTGTGTGCAGTTCATTTCTCAGGGGAGGGCTTTTAAGTGTTCCTATGGGATGGAAAACTTCATTTCCCTTGTTGTCACAGTCTGATTTGCACTGGAGGTACAGTACTCCATTGATTTTATCTCAACGTTGAAGTAAGCAAATACACAACACTGTGACCAGCTGTAAGAAAATATATTGTAAAGATGATGTTATTCACCAATAAATGCTGTACCTTTTCAATTGCCACTAAGTCTTTTTCTCTGTATTCCCTCCCCCTCCCTTTTTCTTTTTATCAGAAGATGGCGGTATCCACTATCCATATCAGCTTTTCAAGTGTTGGATTATCTTCACAAAGCACAATAGACCACTGTAGGTCGCGGTGCAAGGGCCGAGGAGGCCTACCCCTCATACATTCATTCTTCTATCTTCCCGCAATGTTTCCTTTTCTATTTCTTGCCAGCAGTTTGCGCTATTCCTGAGATATTTCACTGCATGACTGAACTATTATGTCCTGCGTTTTTTGATAGTTCTTTCCAAATTTTAAATCTAATATCCTTAGTATCCTTTCCTGCCCATTCTCTTATGTGGTCAAACCACTGTAGTTGTTACACTACTAACTAATCAACCAACCGGCTATGACATCTATATATGTCATGCATGTTTCTAACTACTTTGTTGTATATAAAATGCCAGTCAGCAATGGAAACTTGTATGTTATGCTTGCAAGATGTTCTAGTTACTTTAGAGTGTGACAGGAAGTTGTTGATTGCTTGATAGCTGTCCTGGGTTTGAGTTCTGTCAACTAAACATTATGGCAGATCATAGCAAGAAGATGTAAGTGATGAGGTGTTTTATGAACTGTTACAAGAGAATGAATACCGTGGTATTCAGAGAGTGAATATAGTAGTGATAGTGAAATAAATGTGAATATTTTGTTAAGTGGTGAACAGAGTGTCAGCTGTGATGGAGCAGAAAATGTCACTGATAACAGTAGCATGCAGTTTGATGTATGGGCACATTCAGGTGCTGAGTAACCACATTTTCCATTTACTGGCAAGCCTGGCATAAATATTGATTTAGAAGAACCCAGTAACCCTCTGGAATATTTTGAGTTGTTTTGTATGCCAGACGTTCTGGAATTAACAGCCAGAGAAATCTGTATGCCCAAAAATTTTTAGGAAACATGCCTAATCTAAAACTATAATCTAGGACCCATCACTGGGCTGGTATTGAAAACTACATAATTGTAAAGTATTTACAGTATCTGCCACTTGAGTTGCAGTGATGTCTGGAAGAACAGTTCAGTTCATTCATCCATACTAGCCATGAGTTTGCCCTCTATTTGAAATATTGCACAAAACTACAGAGTAACAGTACACCCCTCTCCCCACCTCCCATTCGCCTCATAGTATATAAACAAGGAAGACAGCACACTACACATTCAAATGTCCACACACAAGAGTTAGCATCATCATACACAGGGGCAACAAGTGAACATAAAGCTAACAATATAACATAACACTATAGAAAGTATTATTTTTTTATTGCTAGTGGGGTGGGACTAAGTCCCTTGTACTGTGGCCACTTCTGGCCTATTGTACCAGCCCCAGATGATAGGTGAGGGTGACTGTGGAGCAATTGGTGGAATGAAGATTGGCAGGGGAAACCGAAGTACTCGGAGAAAACCTGCCCCAGTGCCACTTTGTCCACCACAAATCCCACTTGACTAGACCCGGGATCAAACCGGGGCCGCCGCGGTGGGAAGCCGGCGACTAACCGCTTTAGCTATGGCGCGGCCCCTATAGAAAGTAAATTAAAAGTAGTAATGTGAGTTCTTACATATTACAGATGATAACACAAAGAAAGGGCTTACAAACAGAAGCAACATACGACTACCAAGCTGCAACATAGAAGTATAACATTTGGACAAGTGGACAATGCCCCTAATAGAGATGCAAGAACTATAAATTTTAAGAAATCTCAAATTAAAATTAAATTAGAAACAGTTAAATTAATCAGTGCAAATAAACATTAAGTGTACCTCAAGTAAATTAAACAAGATACATCGCATTTGCAAGTGTATAAATAAGTGAACATATACAGTGCGACAGTTTTGGCGTAGACAAAACACTGATGATGGCAGTCTGAAGCAGAAATATGTCGTAAACAGGAGAAATAAAAGTGAAAATAGTTGCAATGAGGACTGAATACATTGTGTGTGAAAGATATATAAATGCAACAGGATGCTTAAATATAATATTATAAAAGTAAATTCTGCAGTGACAAATTTAAATGTCTGAGGGAATTTAATGTGCCACTGCAGGAGAACACGGAAAAGAACCATGTGACTGGTAAACAATTCTGAATAAGAAGAAAGCAGTCTTCTGGGATGTGGCACTGTGTAGATGTGTGTTAACCGACGTTTCAGAGGAACGTATCGCCTCCATCTTCAGGGTAGAAGGAAAAATAAGAAATATAAGAAAATTCACTAGCGAAGAGACAGCGAGAACTTGTGCAAGCAGACTAATGTTGGAAATAAAACATCTCTAAAAATTCTATTTCTAATTCCGTCCCTTCTTATTTTTCCCGTAGTACCTCTCATAAATGTCATATCACATTGCTTGACTTCTGCTTTTGCTTCTCTTTATGTAAAGTCCATATTTTGGTGTTAAATGTTAATATATTTTTAATATGTACTTTATCTAAGATTGTTTTGCCTTGCTGTTTGAGCTCTATATTCCATAGTATTCCTTTTATAATTTGATAGAATTTGGATATATTTTGTATTATTTTATTGTTTTCCATTGATTTTTTCCCTTCTGAATTTTACTTCCAAATGAATAAATTTGTCCAGCTCTTTAACATTAACTGGTAGTAGAGAATTATGTCTTTAAAAAATCTGCACATATACAATTATCTGGCATGATCCATCCTATCATACTGGTTAGAATATTATATTATGAGGTGAAGTAAAAAAAGTAAAGCTATCCCTGTAACAGGCTGTGAAGGCCCATAGGGTTGTGAGACGTTGAGGGTCCCACATTATCTAGACAATCGGCTCAAAGATGGTGGTAAGGTCATCAGCCTTAGGCACCGGCTGCACTTTACTCCCCAGGAAAATTATTTAATTAATTCCTGGTACTCATTTCCGTTAGAGGCTGAGCCGACCCCAGGGTCATAGTGCAGCTGGAAGGATTAGGTCAATTGAAAAAATCCAATGACCTCATTGGGATGTGAACCTGCGACCTTCCGGCTTGTAGTGTAGTGCCTCCATCAACTACACTACCGCCTGCCCCATCATATTATGAGGGGCACAGAAAAAGTTTTAATGAATTGGAACTTTCTATTGAAACTGACTGCTGATAACTGTGTTAGGGCACCATGACAAGTTTGTTAGATTGGAGGTTCTCAAAATGGTAACTATGAACAGTACTGTCTTCTGGGAGTGACATGTTTACTGATATTTCACAGGAATGTCAGTAAATTTTTACTCGACTACATCATCACATCCTGGAAGGCAAATTCGTTAATCAGAGTTGCAGTTCTTCCTGGGGAAAACAATTTATGAGCACACATCATTTTTCTATTGAAAATTGGTAGTCATTAGCGACACTGGGCTGTAGCAAATTTGTATGATGATGGTACATTGATACAAATGTTATATTTCTGGACATAATCCATCATCCTGTTCTAAAACGTTTCAGAGACTGGATTCTGTGTTCCATCTTCAGGTAATAACTAATAGTTTGAAGATACAGATATCAGCTCCCAAAAGCAGGAGGCAGGCTGGAAATAAGTTGGGAAACACGTGCTCAGCACAACAGTCCGCAAGTGTTTGCAATGTTATTTCCTCTAGGCTTTCAATTTGAAAATGCTAACTTTTGATGCTCTCATAAATAGCATAAAACAGGTGAGGTGCATGACCAAGGGCCTCTGATATAAAATTTGATCAAAATCGGCCCAACACTGATTAAAAACCTCATTTTCTTGAACACTAATGTGTGTGTGGAAAAAGTGCATTTAACATAAAATATAAAATCTCTACAGTTTTAGCACAAAACATATTTCACTATGCTAAGTATTTAGTAAGTTATGCTTGACAAACACTCAGAAATGCATGCATATCTTCATGTAAAGTGTCAAGTTATTGTATGATTGTAACCAAAACTGAAATGTGTGAAGTAGTATTAGTAATAGCCACCTGTATGAAATTTCATGAGAATCCATTCAGCAGTTTTTATGTTCTTACATGGAGATGGATGGGCAGACTAAGGCTATTATTATTATTATTATTATTATTATTATTGGAAGGGGTGGGTTTCCCCCTGCACCGTGACCAGTGGTCTAGACTAAGGCTAAGTTAACAGGCACATTTTTGCAAGTTTTCATTGCAACTGCAGCAAAAATAAGGCGGGGAATACTTTTTTTTTTATAGAAACTTCATCTTTTGACAAAATGGATACCTCTGCAAGTCCAGTCCTCTTTCTTGAAGTGACAGCTGATAAAGGCTTTAACTGACTAATAAAACTTGAGCATTATGCAGCATGAGTTTGGTGCATGGGTCTTACACTAATCACAATATATGATATCTCTATAACACACATACAGATTGTCTGTGATTATGTCAATCTTCCTATATTCCTGTGCTCACTAATGACTTGAACTGAAAAGCTTCCACTTTCACCATCAACTGAAGAAGAAAAAAAATAAATGGTACATTACTTAATAACAAATCATTGTACTTACATAACTTTGATCTTGAATGTAATTAAGGAATGAGATGGACAGTCAATAAAGTAACTGGATACAGGATGGACAACCATGGTTCACTTCACTGCAGGGATATTTCTTTCCAGCAACAGTATGAAGCTCACCACTCACCTCCATCGAGCCCTGAGGAATTAGAATTCATGAAGCTTTATTTCTGCACTTATATATTTCCATATCATGATGCTCAGGCACAGGAACATTATATTTTTACATAATAAGGGATTATACTTGTACATAATTTAATATGAATGAATAGTGAGCTCACCTCTGGATGCTACTGTTGTAAATGGAGACGACTGATTTGTCAAGCTGTCAGGTGGATGGATGAAGAATACTGTGTGCCATTCTATAAGTGACCACCTGCCTTGTCTACAACAAACGGCTTCTATACACAGCATGGGACATGACAGTATATGCATCAAGTAGGACTAGAAGGTACGAGTCAAGAAATCCATATAGAAATAGAAACAATACAACAAATTTCTCAATTACAAACTCTCAGCCAATATATTATGTATAGTTATATATATATCATATGAAAATAATACAGTATATACAAATTACATCAGTTCAATGAAACTATAAGCTAACCATTGCATTTTACATACAACATTTGAGGATAACTCCAAATTATAACTACTTTACAAACTAATGAACAGAATTAAAAGAGTCTCATGTACATATAATACACACTGCCTGCATTAACTAGAAACACTGCATGGATATTACAGTTTTATTTTACCTACAGGCAGTTACAGACTAGCAAAAACTTAACAGGGAAAGTGTTGAGATATCTGCAACATCTAATTATTGTATCACAATTACTGAGAAATCAGGCAACTATATCCATCTGAATTCCTTTATATAATATCAACAATTAGGAGAATTATGAGAGTGGCAATTCTATGTGGGGGGGAGATGAAGGTTGGGGAAGAAGGAAACCAACAATTGCTGAACATTAGATATTGAATATCACCATGGGGTAATGTTTTTTCACAAACAGCTGCAATCTCGAATTGTGTCTACATATCTATGTTTAAATGCAGTTGTGAACAACTACAAAGAGTCAGCTGAATCAGTAAACACCTTTACATACAGAACATAACCTGAAAGAAAAGATACACTAGTGGAGTTAGGAATGTATCAGGATTTAGCTTCAATCTCTCATCCATAACATACTGTAGCCACTGGATAATCTATTAACTAAACAAATAAGGCATCATTGTTTGTCACTAATAAAGCTCTGCTGACAATATTATGATACAAATGCCCCAATCACAAATCATTTTTACACATGAATTATTAAAGACATTCCAATTACATAATTTACATTTTCCTGGACGACTGAGTAACACTCCAACATTCACAAAAATTCATTCATGCCATTTGATCCCAATAAAATTTGAAAACTTCATCTGCAAGCTCCAAAGGAAAAAGACTAAATTTTAAATCAACAGATACAACTGATTTACTAGTACAAAATGAGTGATCACAGCAACAGTGACATTCGTGATCTACTTTGGAACGATTTAATGCGAGTATTTAAAATGATGACTATATAAGAACTACTGCGAAATAAACAGGTACATAACAGTGAAATATTACTTGATTCTATCACTGGCTTGTAGAAAACGAAATTTCACTAGCAAACAGATGTAAAGAGATGGTGTGTACTTTTGCAGCATAACCACTACATAAACATTCTGGGATGCTAAATAATGAAACACCTTTTGTGACTTCTTTGTAACAATAATGATATAAAATGGCACTCAGTTTTACATTTCTATACAGTAATAATGAAATCAATTTAAGTATGGATATATCTTTGGCGTTTACAAAATTAAGAATGGGCATATGTAAAAAAGATACATTAATATCTGCACTTCATAATAACATGTATGGAAGTACAATTATAATATTTTAGTCATCAAAGTAACAACATTATGTATTTCACTGTATCTTATACATAATATGAAACTGTTATTCAACTAATTCCACTATTACAAAATTAATGAGGAAAATTAAATTGTTTATACTATGTTGTCTGAAAATAAATTTACTTCACTGCTCACTACTGAAGTAATTGACTGGGTAATTAGCTTTCCAGCATTTATAATTTATTTACTCCTATTCCTGGAATAACAAGTTTGTGTTTGTTACATGCTTACTGTATATTTTGAATAACCTGATAGAGAATAACCAACTCCAACTGCCATACTTGTAATCTTATACTTCAGATTCTGGCACAAACATCAACTGTGCTGTTTATGTCTGACAGCAGTAACAGCCTATCAATTACAGCAGCCTGTAACAGTCCAATTCTGTAATTACCAGTGAGTAAGCCATGAGCCTGAATTACTGAATGTGTTTACAAAACTTACATATTTTTAAACGATCCTGTAACACTCCAGATCATACACTAACTTCTTTCTCAGAGTTTTGTTGTAATGTAGGTTGTAATGGTAGGAACTGACTCCCTTCCATACTGTTTTATAGTCTGCAAAGCTCAGTATAATTGTCGTATTGCTAAATTGGGCCCAGGCAGAAAATGCAGCGTATGAGAATATACAAAACACAAGGTCAGCCCCCTCCCACAAAACACATTATAAAATTGTTGAAGTTTCTTTACATACTCTGTTGTGAGCTCAGATAACCCCAAAACAATTATGTGAGTGCTAAATTATGGTTGTAACATACTAGAATGGGAAAAATCTATTAATCTACAAATGTTGCCACTTGGGTTGTAAATTTAGGTTATTTTCTTATGCAGCAAAAGTTGACTCAGCAGCTGTTTAATTTTAATAACAATTCAGAAGATTGCACTGATAATATTAACTTCATTTAATTTAAATCTAGAATAGACAAAGCAGTGACCTTTTTGAAATCAAACTCAAATTTGTAGAAAGTTCTTACAGCTTCTATTTAACACAAATAATGACTCAATGACATATATCTATAGCTCTTGTGTTCTCTATATTTTAATTTCTTTTATGGAGTATACCTCAATTACCGGCCAAAATGGTCTGATTACAAACAAAACCCTCCACTCCTTTATGGGAGAAGAATGATTATATGCAATGAGCTAGCAATCAGTTTAGTGAGGAAATGTGAAGACTGACAGATATTCCATGTGGTAACAGCCATTTGTAAAGCACTGCAGAATATCTTGTATTCAATAAGCCATAATTTATGTATATTTCACAGATAAAAGTTTACCTCATACAACCACCACAGAAGTGATCACTAGCACAGTGGAATTAAAAATGATCATAATTATTCTTGAGTTGGTGAATGGTAATATCAGTAGATTAAATCATTTAACTGTGTGTGTAATTTAATCAGTGACTGAGTCACTACTCCAAGGGAAGAGAGAGCTGGTGAAGGTTCAGACATTTTGTGTCTCACTGTTAGTACTACAAATTAATTTTCCAGATGATTCCTTTGAATTTACTGTAGAGTTATGGAAATATAAGACATTACAGCCCAAAGAGTTTCATGTCATGTAAAACTAGGAAGTAACCACAGCTCATGCTATATAAGCACTATAAATGCAGCAACACAGAAATATGTCACTATTTTGACAGTAAAGTTATCATTATCTATTGTTAATATCCAAACTCCTGTGCAACTGTTCCAAGGCTTGGCACCAGAAAAATATTGACAGTATCCTATCATCTGACAGGATCTCAACACTTAGCCAGAGATGGAGCATAAATACTAGAAAAAACTAAGACAAATTTTCTGAGATATTACTTTCTGTCATGAACACGCATGTGCATACACACCCACGTGCGTGCACACACACACACACACACACACATATATACAAAGATTGCTGTTTGGGCAGAAATGAGGAACAGTTCCAGAACTATAGAAATAACTTTACTGGCAAAAGATAAGAGAGTATTAATTAAAACACTAACACATTACTTATTTTTGGAGAAGCCAGGGAAGAATGAAAAAATATCACAACATGAATCCCAAAGGCATACAGGGTTACTATATGTGTAGAATTTCAATTCCAATGCAGAAGAAACATTGCATGAGAAAGAAACCCTTGTGATACAAAGTCAAAGTCCTAACTTGTACAGCTTGTCTTTAAGTTCATATTGCCTAAATTTTCAAGTCTTCCATTACTTTCCTTTCATTTTTCAGTGCTGATGTGCAAAGCCATGACTGTATTGACATACTCTCTTGCATGCCTTCAGAACTAAATGACATGTGGTTGAACATGCTACTCTTTGCCATATATGCCTCTCAGATCTTTAGAATTCTTCTTGATATCCTATACTAGCTGAGATTACTACAGTATGTGCTGCAGTCACTAAGTCTGCATTACTGATGTACGTTTTCCTTCTCTCCACATAGCTATTCCTTCTGACCCGACACTATACATTCATCTGCTTTGGTGGATATTTTCATTTATAGAAACAAAATATTCAATGTACTTAAATAAAATTATATGTTTAAATCAGAAAAGATTTTTCTTTACATATAAAATAGAAAAGTAACACATACTGTGCATAATTTTTTTAGTTCGAAACTATATAATAAATTTATTCAAAACAAATCATATACTAGTAATATTGCATTAAAACAATTATCTGTTGTGATATATGAATATTAATTTCATGGAAGTGTTTTGTAACTGGAACAGTATATTATTACATGAAGGGAGTGGGGCTGATATCTGAGCTCAAATGCACAGCAGAATAGGTGAATTTTCCAAAGGGATGGATGGAGCCCAGTCAGAACTTTCGAACCACAATATAAATAACAGTTCTGCTGTGCACGCCACAAGGTGCAGGATGGTTGTAACAGAAGAGTTCCATCATTGGCAAATCACCTGGATAGAAAACTAAAAATCTGCATCTTCATTCCTCTCTATGATGAGTCAATAGGAATAGACCCTAGTGAGTGAGCAATAGAGGAAAACAGTTCCATCACACTTCTGAATAAATTATGAAGTCTCGTTGTAACTAATCACTGCCAGACCTCTTCACATTATGCAGCACAGTTTCTTCAGGTCTGAGTCAAAGTCATCATCGAGATCTCGTATATCAGGTGTCTTACCGGCAATACTAGGCATGTACTGCTGTTGACATAAACCTTCTCGTTCATAGAACAGCATGTATGCGGAACTCGTATCCATTTGACTCTCACTCATTTCCTACACAACATACAAGTAAACTCTTGTAGTTTGCATGAGACAAGGAAAGCGCTCTTGTTAGTGCAGAAGTGATTCCTTACCTGAACCACACTGGAGTTAACCACTGGATGATTCATTACAACACAATCTTGCTGGATACTGTCCATTACTTCCATATGCTGGGTACATCCACTGTTTCACAGTTTTATATCATCCTTTTCTATCAGATCCTAAGTGTTTATACACTAAAACAGTTACACCTATGGCAACAATCTAAACAAAGTACTGTAGTTGAGAGTACGTGGTCTGACAATAAAGTTCGTGAACTCGCCACAGTGTGTTTGCCATGGCAACAGTGGACAGAAACGTCAGTATGGTTTGATCACGTTGGCATATCAGCGTTTCACAGCTGTGTTGTTGACCTATGGCACTCTCTTTCTGAGTGACGTCTATTACTGTTTGAGAGTGTTTTGATGTGCCGCTGCGAGAATGTCAGAATGAACATTAAATTTCCTGTTAAACCTAGCAAGAGTGAAAAGAAAATCAGAGAGATGTTACTGCAAGTTTATGGTGATAATGCTATGAAGGAAACAGCAGTTTAAAAGTGGGTGACATGTTGTTCTGAGAAAAGAGGAAGTGTCACTGACGAAGAGAGATCAGGACAACCAGCAATGAGCAGAACTGAAGAAAACATTGCATAAGTTCGTCAAATTGTGCATGAAAATCATCAGCTGATATCAGGAGAATAGTAGTGCACGCAAACATCGACAGAGAAACAGGAAAATCTTAATAGAAGATCTTGACATGAGGAAGGTGTGTGCAAAAATGGTTGCAAGGGTGTTCACAGAAGAACACTGCCTGTGAGGCAGTTTTTAGCTAGTAAACAAATAACTGTGCTGGAACACTCTCTCTATTCACCGGATCTAGCCCCCAATGTGTTTTTCTTCTATTCCCAGAGATAAAGGAAATACTGACAGGAAGGCATTTTGATGACATTGATGACATCAGGAGTAATATGACAGCAGCTCTGAAGGCCATTCCACAAAACCAGTTCCAAAATTGTTTTGAAGGATGGACTAAACGCTGGCATCAGTGCATAGCTTTCCAAGGGGAGTACTTTAAAGGCGACCACAGTGATATTCAGAAATAAGGTATGTAGCACTTCTACCATGATGAGTTCGCAAACTTTATTGTCAGACCACATATAATGACTGATTGTTGTAACCAATGGTGGTATTTATTTATACTAGGCATGTGCAAGTCTTCAGTATTTGAAATTAGATAAAATAAAATCTCAATTTTGATTCAAACATGTTTTTTTTTTCATCTTGAACGTTAGGAGTTTTCAGATAACTACTTTTCTGTGTAGTATCAGTAATCCATAAGAATCATAATCACTGGTACTCTCAGCATGAGCCAGTCTGTCAACAAAATCTATCTCCCATGCTTTCTGCCTATGGTGAAAGAGGACAGAGCCCTAGAACTTAAGTACTTTTCAAATTCAATAAGTTATAAAACATTTTCACTGAAAAAGGATGTTACATTAAAATGGATACATGTTACACTTTAGTGAATTGCAAAAAGTGGCAAATGTTAAAAACTGTGATTACAGGGGGGAAAAAATCAGCCTATGAGAGAAAATGCTCATTCTCATCCTAATTCTTGAAATTCTTCCAAATTCTCATTTCGGATGAAAAGTCACTCTTGCACATACCAAATTTATACATATGTTCAGTGGATTACACAATCACACTGAATTAAGTACAAGGGGAAAATTTTCTTATACAAAATATGTTTTTCATACTAAATCAAAATTCACTAAATGCAGGAAAATAATACACTGTCTATACTCATAAAATATAGTCGCTAAATAAGGGAACATTAAATTGGATTCCACTGTCTAAAACATTACTTCATAACTGAAAACCCCATTTCATGTTTCCTTGTGTGACAATGATTTGAGCAACAATCACAAAAACCATTAGTGGAGGAAATTTAATAAACCTCAAATTGAGAAACATTAAATGGGGATTCCACTGTCATTCTTCTATTGTCATTGTCATTCACAATGAAAGTGATAAATGCGGTATCATGTTAATTTAATACTGAACTATAACGAACATGTCACTATGATGAAGGATTAGTGACATTCTAACTCAATTACCTGCAGAAGTACATGACTCACCTTGCAGCTGCTGTCATTGTAGCAGTACCATTTACCATTGGGGTTGCAGGCATAGCTTACATAATGACCACCTCCCAGGATACCAGAATGGGACTGTCAAGAGGAACCACATTATCACTTTTCTGATAACAGGTTTCAATCTGGCAGTAATAGTTCCACTACCCTAATAATTACAATGTTATCTTTTATAAAACTGTGCAAAACATACTCGTACTATTTAAGTGAAGAAAATAATTTTCTCTGTATTCAAACCCTATTATGTTGAAAACTGTCAGGGAACTGAACAACAAAAATTTGTCAATAACTACTGAAACAATCATGGTTCTTGGATAAACACTTATGTAGCTACCTTATGCTAAATTAGTACAGGTACAAATATGAAATCCAACAGATGAAAAATGCATATATTTTGTTTGGGAAGCCTGAAGGGAGATCAGGTGGGAGACAGATATACATGGGAGAATATTAAGAGATTCTTAAAGAAACAGAATGCAAGGATGTGAATTGGACTGAAATGAAATAATTAAAAAAGAAGGTTCAAAATACTGTAAACAATCTTGGAGTTAATTATCAAACACTATCCTTCAATAGTTAAGAGTCTTAAATTCTGAAAGAACATGTGTATTTCATGCTGTCACCATATGGACTACTTTTTACATAAATTACCTTTCTATGGGTTGCATGTTTTGCAAAGACAATTCTTTACACCACACTTCTGAAAATTATAATGGCAATAATGTTCTTCTCATCCCTATTTAACATTTTATGTATTTACTTTCATAACTACAAACACTGTATGCATCACACTGTGCATTTTGACTAGCAACTTCATTGTTTTCAGGCGCTTTCAACGAAAATCTGTGTTACATTTAATAACATCCTAATGACTCAATTGTTAACCTTTAAGAGTCAGCATTTAAACCCCCCACGACTGCACTGCTGCCAGAGTTAATTTGACGTTGCCCTTTTAATATTGTAGACTTTCAGAAAAAACTACATATTTTCCGTTCTATGCAGCTTAGAAATATGAACTAAAAACCGCCTGAAAGAGAATGAAATTTCCTACAATATACCTATGGCAATTTTTACAAATAAAAATTAACTGTGATTGTTATGTCATGAAATTCAAAATATACTCTCTATTATATGTGTAATGAAATTCCAAAAGACTTACCCATAATTTTTTCTTCAAATTTGAGACGTCGTTATATCCAAAATACATTGACACTATACACCAAAATGTTTGGTCAGACTGTACACGAGTTTCAACTCGTTGCGTCGTGTAAGTTTACGCTACTATAGATACTGCGTGCGGGAGCGCGGAGAGGCAGGGTTTACTTCAGCGCGTTGTGAAGGTCACACAGACCTCACTTCTCATACGCTGGTAGACAATCTGGTTCAGTCTCTCGCTTAGCGAACAAACAGGAAGTTATTGTTTCTATCTGGCTGGCCGGACAGTGTTGTCAATGTTCAGTTCCAGATGACTCAATGAAANCGCACAGAGGAATGTTGGGTCAGCTTTTCTGTGAAGAAGCTTCCACTCTGTTTGGCTGACCAAGTCACAAACAGTCTTACCTACATGTAAACGAAATCGAACCCAGTGCCATGATGAAGGGTTTTATTGTTCAGAGCCAACAACTGGACCTCTGACTTGAATTTGCGTGTGTTTGTTTTGGTTTCAAACTCAACGTCTAACCGTCAGCACTTCTAAAGTGAGCACGTGTCTTGCGTCCAGTATACTGGACATTCGGCATCTTCGAGGTCACAGGTACCGTCCGGTATACCGGACTTTCGGTCGTTAAAGGTTAATTACAAAGCATCTGAAGACAACTAATTAACAGTCAAATTTCACTGTGATACAAATATTGTGAGGTGATGGTTATGGAAAGTAAATACATTATGAAGACCACAGTACACTACAAGTCACACAGTTCACATGACTGCCACACAGTAAAGTTAAAGAAAATTAGAAGAATAAAATTTCAGATTGATTAACACTCTAAAAACTTTTACGACTTTAATAAAAACTGGGACAGTTCTGTAACAGGAAATATTGAGAATGACACGTGGCATGCACTGCGTATAGGATGATTTTTCTCTTCTGGAATCTAGCTAGAAACAAAAATGTCATTAAGGCCTTCATTTGCTTACGCACCATCAAAAGCAACTTAGTTTATGTGGCAGGTGGGACCTGGTTTCACACTATGCCAGAGCGGTATCTCCAAACAAGTCACAGCCTCTTCATCCCCAGCCATTTTCAGCTTACCATATATAAGCACATCTCATCCTTCCTAAATAATTCTGGCATTGTTAAATATAACAAGAAGCAGAGCATTGCCAAGATGCTCTGTGAACTGTACTCACAACAATGGCATAGAGGTGATACTTGAGATCAAATGGATTGACACCCGAGTTTAACCGGTGTTGATGGAAATCCTGAAGATCACTGTCTGTGACTGGAGTTCGAACCAAGGACGTGGATTCTAACCGTTCTCTTGCCAAAACTGATAGGCGAAGGTTTGGGACATCCCCGTTAGCCAAGATTCTCCCTGATTGAAATCAAAATATGACTTTGTTAATTGTACTGTTATGTAGAGGGGAATAAAAACTTGGAAGAGTTCAATCTTCTGCGACTTAATGCCATGTAGTCCGCTGAAAGTCAATTGACGTTTTGGAGGAATGTGTCACCTCCATCTTCAGAGTCAAAGAATAAGCAAAGAAAGAAACCCCCACTTGCTGTCTCCTTCACACTGGTTTCTTGCTTGGCTTATTCTTTGACCCTGAAGATGGGGGCAATAAGTTTCTTTGAAACATCAGTTGACCTTCAATGGACTACATAGCATTATATCCTCAAAGAGAGACTTCTTTATAACCATTGCTGTGAGGACCTCAAATCCTAAATAAAAAACATGAATTCAAAAGTAGATGTAGAGTCTTCAGCAATACATCTTACATCTGAAGAAATGGACTGCACCTCCATTACAAAGAACACACAGTTGATGCTGCATAGAGAAATAATGACTGTTTGTTCTGAGAGCCATATGAAACCCATAATATGAACATACTCTTAGTAAAATGCAGTTTTTAATATTCAAGGTGGTGGTATTTATACTATCCAATGTGCTTTAAAGGGTTAACCTTTATCAAGCTACAGACCAAATACCTCTTTTAGAAACATAAGCCTCTTCTACTCTGAATCATTTCTGTATCTGAGTGAGAATAAATTTTCCTGCCACTCCTTGCCAATTCGAGACAACTATCTGCAGTTTTTCATTGACAGAAATTTAAGCTGCAACCAAAATACACAAACAGGTCACTTGTTAAATCAGATTCAGCATGAACAGGGTGAAATGGCACACTGCATGGTCCAAAGTAATATTTAAATTATTGTATGGCTACGAGGCTATGACTGTGTGAAAATGGGCAATAAATTAAGTTGTAGCCTTTGACAAATGAGGCTCCAAGACAGGGGTTTGAAAGTGAATAAATATCTTTAAAAAAAGAGGGCCCAAATTTTTACTTTTCATGATTGTGTTAACACTGTGTGCGTGATACAGATCTAGTTCCAATTTACAATGTTATTGGCACCTACAACCAACAAATTTTTTGAAGTCACAGTTCTAAATTCTTTGAAGCATGAAATTCATCTAAATAAATCTTTAACAATTTAATTCGTATAGAATATACAACCCAGCTTCACTGTAAAGATGAGCTGATTAACACTGTTCAGGGAAACAATTACTGTTTATTCTGTGAACCATATGAAACTCACAAAAACAAACTGTGTGTGCAAAACACATAAATGTTAAAGCAGGTGGTACATACAATTACCAGTGGGCTTGAAGTGTTAACAGAAATGATTTCTTGTTTCATATTTCACAGACTGTCTTGCCTAAATGTCAATTCCTTAAATATCTGCACATATAGATCCTCATAAAACAACATAATTGAGACATATGAGGAATCACATGAAGCCTGTCATACAGAATTCAACATTCATGATTCATGTGCAAAGTGGCTATAGAGGAATTTCCATTTTAATGTTTCTACATTTAATATTTTACCACTTTGTACAGCTCTCACTAGTTCTCTTACCATTAAAATTCTTCTGATGCATATTTCCCTCAGGTTTGTGTCTGAACTTACTTTCACTGAGAGGCACTGTAAACAATATTTAACACATTCAAGCCCGGCTCAAAATTCATCGTATTACATTTACAGCCCACTATTCTTTAATAATATTTTTTAATTTTCTTTGAAGTATTAACACTTTGCTATTCTCTGTCAATACCACAGTGTGATGGCCATTGCCATTATGTGGCATAACCTAAAACAGCAAATGTTAAATTCTCCACATGAAAGAATTCTGACAGCAAGCAATGAATAGAAGAAAATTTATATAAGAATCTGAATATGCTAAGTGCCATCTCATTAGGTCTAAATGCTTACTTGGACTAGAAAGTTCTGCCTCTGTGTTCTCGTTCACAACTTTGATTGCCTCTGAATTGCTGTCTGGTGCTATTATTGCTTCTTGTCCCCCATTGAGGGGTGGTGGTGTGGAGTAAATGAAATCTCCATCCCCTTCTTCTAACCTCAGCCTTTCCAGCTCCCTGTGCCTCACCACAGTATGTTTTGGTACAGATGCCAAATAAGCTGTTGGATCAAAATCTTTGAAAGGGAAGTTCACCACCTTTTGAGACTTCACCCATTTCCCATTGACAAACTGGAACCTTTTTAGGTGTACAATCTGTAAATAAAACCATACAAAATTCATTTAATTGTATGTCTCAGCATCTGTGATTCTCCAGTGTAGCCACCAGCTATATTTGTGAATAACACAAAACAGCCAGAAAGAACCAGATTTGAAGTCTGACTGTAGTTCTATGCCATTCTTCAGATTCCTCTATTTTTTCTGCAGGAAATGTTCCCTTCACATACACCAGTGTTCAGTCCTTCAAAGCACATTGAAAACACAACAAAAACAGGAAACAAGTAATAACTTTCAGTGTAAATCTTACACTGGACACATCAAATTCAAAGAGGAACCTCTATCAGAGGCCTTTTAAAAGACTATGCATGACACTGTTTCCAAAATGGAATGATATACAGCTTTAACAAGTCTCACTTACAATGTCATTTATAGAACACTAAATATACTTCAGCATCTAACCTCCTAGTTCAGTAGTTCAGTCCCTGACTTACAACCTTCTACAGTACAAATTCATTACCATAATTTTTCCTAATTACATACTTGAAGCAGGATCTTTCTTGAGAAACTAACAATTACTCATTAGTCAAGAAATTCCCCATTTTCAATGGAACCAAAAGATATCCTACTGTGTTCACAAGTCAGCCTCAGCTGCTGCACTACCGTACTGATAATTTTCTATAGGCCTCCTCATTCTCTCTTGACAAATGCTGAGACAGTACCTCTAATTAGGCCATTAACTGCTTCCTTCAACATCCTTTCCAATTTATTATTTTTATGCTACATAGTCTCAGATACTGAAAGTGTACTTAAACCATAAATAAACACAAGTCATCCACTGTACCCTGCCTTTGGTCCAATAAGACAGTTCTGTTTAAACTGTGAATTATTCATTTAATACAAATTTTAATATTATCCTCTCACCTTTGTCTAGATCTCTCAAATGGTCTAATGTTCTCTATCTAAAACTGTATATACATTTCTTATTTCCCATATATGATTCATGTCCAACCCATATCATCCTCCTTGATTTGATAACTCTAATAATATTTGAGGAAGGATACAAATTCCGAAGCACCTCATGAAGCAATTTTCACCATCTTCTTGTTATTTCCTCCCTCTTAGGCCCAAATATTCTCCTCATTATCGTGTTCTAACATACCCTCAAGTTCTGTAATTCACTCAGGGTGCACACCAAGATTTACACCCATACAAAGAATGTAAAAATATTGTTCTGAATATTTTTACATTTTTCAACAGAAAATGGAACAGGAAAAGATTCTCAACTGAAATTAAAGTAAAGTAAAGAAAAGGTATCCCTGTAACAGGTCATGGAGGCCCATAGGATGGTGAGACATTGAGTGTCCCACATTTTCTAGACAATCGGCTCACAGATGGCGGTAAGGTTGTCAGCCTTATGCGCCAGCCACCCTTTACCCTCAAGAACATTCCAAGAATATTCCTGGTACTCATTTCTGCAAATGAATTTTAACTTCTTGAATTTAATTTGTTTTTTATATGCTTAATTAAGCAGAGGGCCAACTTTATCTTTTTATTTACCTTTACCAGTGCAATGAACATGAAATTCCTCCAGTTTAATGGATAAAGTTGTGGATGGTTCTTCCTCATTTTCTCCCCTTTCCTTATTCTTTTAATTCATTTATCAATTCTATGCATACAGAAATTAAGAATTAATGTGTTTTTCCTATATTATTTGCTTAATGCATTCTTAAGCTTGAGAAGGCATTTAACACATCTAATGCTCACAAGAATTGGGGGAAGTCTCCAAATTTGCAGCTTCTTGCTGGCAAGCTGGTGCTCTCGACACTTTGAGCAGTAATATTTCTCATCTTCACCGAGATGCTCCTCCTTGGTGAAAGCTTCAAGGCAATAGTCAAGATCAATGGGCTCTGACTGCTGTTGCCTTGTGAGAGCCACACTCTCATGTTCAACATACACCTGTAACATAACGGTTCGTACACCTCAACTTTCATTAAATTAAATTACTTAAAATATAAGGTAACTATTATGAAAGTTACAATCATATTGTAACAAATTTCATCAATGCATTGGCAGGCAACAGCTCTGTATGCATGGTCCAACATGCAACAATAGAGGAAGTTGTGTTTTCTGTAGCTCCAACTGACGTGCCAATAGATGGGCTGGATAGCGATCATGTTATATGTGTTTTCTGTAGCTCCATCTGACGTGCCAATAGATGGGCTGGATAGCGATCATGTTATATGTGTTTACTGTAGGTCCATGTCTGTTCTGTGACAAAATTCATTCAAGGCAGTTACAAGTGAGTAGTACTGGCAGAAGCACGCAAATGAGAGGAAAGCAGTATACTGGAGAAGTACAGCAGTTACAAGTAGTAGTAGTAGTACTATTAGTGGTAGTGGTAGTGGCAGAAGCATTGAAAAAGCAAGCCAGTTCTTGGTAGGAAACAGCCATGGGAAGTTCATAGTTGAAGAATTAGAAGTTGGCTTCTGAGGACTTAACGTGTGATTAGAAGACTGTATTTATGTGTAATACTTGGGAGTGTGTAACTCAGTGAGACTGTTACAGTTCCTGTGTTATAAATCTGTGAAGACTAGTGCAGATAGACTGCAGATTAGTGTGGAGTGACTGTAAACTGTGTAAAGCAGCAATAATGTAATAATTAATTGCAGTTAAGACCTGTAGGTGGTTAATAAATCCAATTACCAATCCGAACCTCATCTTTAGTCACCCATACACGACAATACTGTCAAGTATTTAGGGTCATGACCTATAATAATGTCTCTGGATTGGATGATTGGATTTATTAATGCCTTCTTTTACAAGCACTCTTAAACACCAACAATGTACAATAACCGCGGGACCCAGCGAGCACAAACTTTCCTATAGCCCAAGCTTTCGATCCTCTCCTGTACTGCACTGTGCCCTATTCCAAGTTTTCAGGCTATTGTGTCCACAGTCACATGCCTGTCCTCTTCAATGATCTCATCCGCTCTTTCCTTGTCGCGTTCAGTTGAGGCTGTTCGAGGACGACTGCTCCGAGGCTCATCTTCGACGCTGGTGTTCCCATCTTTAAAATATTTCACCTATCTTCGAACACTGCTTGCACCCATGCACACACTTCCATAAGCATGCTGAAGTCTCTGGTGAATTTCTGCAGCAGGGATTTCCTCTTCCACAAGAAATTCGATGACAGCATGCTGGCGAAACGATATATCATTGTCGGCCATTTTGTTAGGAGTGATACTGGTCACATGATGCAAGCTATTAATGTCACAGGACACTCAAGGTTAACATAACAGCTGGTCCCACCTACCACCATACTCTCTTTCGTCTGCTGTTCCCAGGTTGCATGCAAAAAAAAGTTGCTCATGACTTACAGTACGACCTACGTATTATGTAAAATAATGCAGACAGGAAGAGCCCAAAATAACTAAATTAGGAGACAGTTCCTGTTAGTTCATTCATGTCATGAATTTTGTCACCTTCTAACATACTCAGTTTCTCATTCAGAAAGTGTCATAAATGAAATTAGTGAGAATATGTGCTCCAGTGGAATATATGCACTGTGACAGGACATCCAAAATCCATAAACTCTGTAACTGTGCAGATGTATTCAGAATATCTTCCGCATCTTCATAAGATGCTATCCATTTATGCATAGGACCTGTAATACCATAAAATTCTAACTTAGATAATAAAATCTTGTGATTGACACAATCAAAGGCCTTTTTCAAATCATAAAATATTCCACCCACATTACAGCCAGCATTTAGGGCAGTTAAGGTCAGGTCAAGCAATCTATTAATG